TTGTCTTGTTGGACAACACAGTAACTGGACGCAGAAAATGGTGTGGGAGATATATGTATGGGTGATAAACTAAAATCAAAGAGATCCCTTGAGCTTCTTTGCAATGCCTGCAAAGTACTTTCCCTGATGAAAAGCTTGAGCCAATTCTAACTCACTTGGCTGTCTTGAGCCATCATCACCAGCATAAGTTCCTGCACCATATGGGGAACCACCTTTCAACTTCTCCATCTCAAACATGCCATCGCCAAATGTGTATCCAATGGGCACAAAAATCATTCCATGGTGAACAAGCTGAGTAACAGATGTCAACCTGCACGTATACGTACAATAAAAAAAAAAAAAAACTCACTAAGTTTGCTTTCTGCTAGTTTTCATATCTCATGTCTTGTGCATACCAAATAAACATTGAAATGCATCATGGTTCTGAATTGCAAAGTTCAGTAACTCACGGTGTACTCTCTTGTCCACCTCCTTGAGAACTAGTGCTGTAGAAGAAGCCTGCAGGCTTTCCTGAAAGTGCCTGTGTGCGCCATAGGCTTACAGTGGCATCCAGAAATGTTTTGAATTGAGCAGCCATAGATCCAAATGTTGTGGGAAATCCAAACAAAAAACCATCTGCCTCAGCAAGTTCGCGGGGCTTGATAATAGGAGCATCACTCTTTGGTGGTGCTCCTATCTTTCCTAGAACTTCTTTTGACAGTGTTTCAGGTACCTATATAAAAAGAAAGATGGCTAAATCGTCTTAAAATATTGATTGAAAAAAAGTTGTGGTGTTGTCTATGTAGGCAGAAAGAGAGAAACACAACACACCTAGAATTCTACCAAATTAGAAGTAAACTGAGCAATGACTGAGCAGCACGTCCTCTCAGTAAGTGATGCATATTTTTTGACTGCAAATGAAAAAAAGTTTACAAACCTGCCACAGTTTTGCTTCTACTCCCTCCACGGAAGCAGCTCCTTTTTCTATCTCTCTAGCAAGCTTCTCAACATGTCCATAAGTAGAATAGAAACTAAACATGCGATCCAAATTGAAGTCAGATTAACGATAGAGAAAAACAACATGTACAACATCAGCAACAGAATATGAAATGCTATTATTGGTTTTATGATACTGATCAATATAAAATGTTTATTAGAAACTGATGGAGCTGGCTTAGAAACTCTCCACTAGTCAAAATGGGTGGGGCTTTCACCCATTTCTTAATCACTATTGCCATCTAAAGCCTTCTTCATTTCGGATTTCTCAAATAGGTTACTTAATTAATAATGAATGCAGTTTTTTAACTGAAAGTTATTTATTTAGTATCATGGTAGCCGTAATAAATATTTTGAATTCTTACTTGTTTTAATTATACTCTTAAATAGGGGTATAATTGTGAATAAAAAGCACCAGACTTTGAATTCGAGTTAGTGCTAGGAGATATAACAGTGCAAAATTAAGATTTACAAGATCTTCATGGGTGATCCATTTAAAAAAATACTCTTTGGTTGAATTGCATGAATAATAATTATATCTATACATAATTACCATTTTTTTTAATTTTCAAATTTCAATGTATCATTTAATTAATAATAATATGTTATAGTTACCCAAATCAGCATTAATTGTTTTTACGTACTTCCATCTCTTTTAAATTTATTACAAAAATTAGAAATTATTATTGACTTATTTGGAGTATCACAGAAATTTTATTTTGAAAATAATCTGACCCTATCGAAACTGAACTATCTTTATATATTTGGAAATTAAGTGTACAAAATACAAGCAAAACTGATGGATTGAATAGGTTGGATTCAATTTTTAAGAGAAAATAAAAAAAACTGACTCACTTAAATTAATATATTTTGATTAGTTGGATTATTGAATTTTGTTAAATTCCACTTAAACTAACTAAAAAATAATCTTGTCAGATGAGGTAGAATATTTTGAAGTGATACTAAAAAAATATTATTCTTTCAAACAAACTTATGAATAGCTGAATTTTAAATGGATATTTTTAATAAATCTTAATCAGATTAATAAAACGATTTTAATCTATTTGTTATAATCTGAATAAAAACGATTCATTCTCTCTATTTAAATTGCGGGAAAGTGATAAATAATGAAAAATAGCGTTAGTCCATGAAAATGGAGTATTGGTGAAGACATAACCCAGAAAATGGAGAAGAAAGAGAAATTCTTACACAACGTAAACCTTGGTAACCATTGCTAGTAATTTGTATTTCTTTGCTTGGAAACCAAAATTTGTTAGTGAATAACATCACCCCCCACAAGTACCTCTATTCTTATAGTGTCACCTCCACCTATATTTTAAGTTTAAAAATGAAATTCGAAGCGAAATCTACTTGAAATTGACAACATAATTTTATTAAGATAATTACATTTTTATTCAAAATTCATCTTGTGAGTTTTATTAGCTAATTTCGGAGGGAATTAATTAGTATAATAGAAAACCACGCATTTAATTGAAATTAATGACTGATTTTTTAAGTGGAAAAAAATACCAGAAAAATTAGAAACCCTACAAAAACAAAAGTATTTTTTAAATTTTTTTTAAGAGGTCTCCACCTTAATTTACTTAGGAAAACACGTTCCAATTAATAATAAAAACTATGTAAATGTTAACACTAAATAATTTTTAAGTGTAGATATTATTAGCCGCCTTGTGCTGAACCTGTCTCTCTCCGTAACTTATTCTGAAAAAACAATGATCAAGAAATGATTATAACTCTTGTCCAACACATAGGAATCTAGTTTTTAACTTTGTTATTATGAAATAATTTATCTGATAATATATTACTATCTTTTGTCAATTATTATTATTATTATTATTATTATTATTATTATGAGTTCCATGTTTCGATTAGTCCAAGGCGACGGTGGCTAATATGCATGATTGGTGCAAGCATTGAAGTTCCGTCTATGTTCACCCAACTTCACAATTCTTTATAGTGATTTCTTATTATTGCACCATAATCAAATCTTTCTCCTATTCCTCATCTTTCCCTTCTTTTATTTTTCATTTTTTAAAACATGAAACCGTTAATATGATATCAAATATATTTAATTTTTAAATATAATTTTTTATTTATAAAATAATATTGATTAAATAATTAATTAAATGAAATTTTATTATCATCTTAAAAATTATAAGAAAAAAGTATAGCTTGGTATTAGTATAAATAAAAACTAATATATAAAAAGTAAACTATTATTACGAAATAGAATTCATTACCTTATTTATTTTTATTTAACAATAAAGAAAAAGAAACTACAAACTAATAAAGAAGACAAAAGCTTTTTTATGAGAAAGACAAAGATGATAGGTAAGATACTACGTTTCATTAACATGTATATTCGTATAATTATATTTCTACAATACTTTTTGTTGTGAGAACGATCATATATATATATATATATATATATATATATATATATATTTTTTTTTTTTAATTTGAAGTTTAATATAATTGGATTAAGGGATTTGGGTTCCCTCACTTAAAATATTAGGGTTAGAATATTTTTTTTATATAATAACTACATCTCGATTAAATGATAAAATACGATAATTATGTGTTAGGAAGTCTAATGAAACTAAATTCTAATATTTTTTATTCAGATCAATTAACTTATTTTATTATACATACCAACTATTCCACAAAATTTTAAAATTCAAATCTTTTACTTTTTCTTATGTATCTTATATGCAATTGCTTTGATATTTGGTTATCTGATGATTTAAATTCTTGTAGTGTAAGAATATATATTTTATATGCCTATATGATACAAGTTTTATTTATATATTTTGTTAATTGGTATTTTTGTCTAAATGCGATAAATTTGAAAAATAAGAAAACATTCTAACTACATATATGTATGCATTTTGTCTTTTATAAGATGATATCGTGCAAGTTTTTACCTTTAAAAGTGAAATATATATTGATAAATAATTTCATACTGGATATATATAGGTTGTTTGTTGTTATGGGCTAAAATTCAAATATCTAGTCTCATTCCTAAGTCATTAAATTCTATGGTTTGCACTTCCAATTTCAAAATTCATTTTCAAATGAGAAGAATGACATATCAGTATTTCATTTCACCTATTCCAAGCGAAATCAAAATTTTGATTACCTTATTTAAGCATAACATTACAAGAAATAAAAATTGATTTTTTGTAAATATAGTGCATCAACATTAACATTTTGTATGATCACACGATGCATACAAATTGCTTCCTGAAACTTAATTGATGGTACTATATCCGAGTCAGCAAATTATCCATTGCATACTAAATCAAATGTGTTAAAAGATCCATTTCCGACAATGCCTGCTGAATTTCTGTTTTGAATCGATAGAGGATTCGTGACAGCACATTAGAGATATTTGTGAAAATTAGAGAACTATATAGCACATATAATTGATATCTATGGTTTCTACTCATTCGCAAAAACTAAATCTTCATTAATCTGGTAGTTTACATTTTTTACCTTATGATATACAGTTCAAGTTTTAGCCCCATTACAAACCAAGCTTCATTGTTGTTGCAATTTTAGCTAGTACATTGTCAACGCATTCAGAAGTAATACAAAATGGTCATCTGGATTAACAAGGAAGAAGATAAAAAGGGATTTTACTGCTGCATCTAACCCATAAACATAACAAGAGCAAATAAAAAGAATGTATTACTTTCTACATTTTAATATATGAGCTATTCCCTCCAACTTTATAATTCATTGAAATATGAGTGAAATGGGAATCTATAGCCAAATTATATTGATAACCAATTTAGCTAATAGTATTAGTTAGATAACCATAATTCATCAATTGACAATAAACACTGCAGTACAGGATACAAGATGACAAGTGGCAACAATTGTATTGATCATGAAGTATTGATTTATTCTCACACTTCTATTTGATTTTATTTTTGTCTGAAACATCTTATTATAGTTGACAAGACGTGAAATGGATACAGAATATGTATGGGAGATAAAACTCATTGAGATCCCTTGAGCTTCTTTGCAATGCCTGCAAAGTACTTTCCCTGATGGAAAGCTTGAGCCAATTCTAACTCACTTGGCTGCCTTGAGCCATCCCCAGCATAAGTTCCTGAACCATATGGGGAGCCACCTTTCAACTTCTCCAACTCAAACATGCCAGCACCAAATGTGTATCCAATGGGCACAAAAATCATTCCGTGGTGAACAAGTTGAGTAATAGATGTCAACCTGTTTGAACAATTAAAAAAAAAAAAACAGTGACTAAGTTTTCTGTTGCTTCTGTTAGTTTCATATCCCAAGTTGAGTGGATACCAAATAAACAGTGATAGAAACACATGAATTAAAGAAGAATTCGGTGACTCACGGGGTAGTTTCTTGACCACCTCCTTGAGAGGCAGTGCTATAGAAGAAGCCTGCAGGCTTTCCTGATAGTGACTGTGAACGCCACAGGCCTCCAGTTGCATCAAAAAATGCTTTAAATTGAGCAGCCATAGATCCAAATCTTGTGGGAAAACCAAACAAAAAGCCATCAGCCTCAGGAAGCTCATGGGGAGAAATAACTGGAACATCACTCTTTGGAGGTGCTCCCAACTTCTGAAGGACTTCTTCAGGCAATGTTTCAGGTACCTGTATGTTTATATACAAATAGTGTTAGTACATTAAGGAAACCCCTTATTTGTTCCGAATTATATGAAGAGTATAACATGGCCAGATCACTTTAAAGATATTTCTATGAAGAACACTTGGTGACATGACTTCAATCTTGAAAAGATTGAACAAGGTTGTCAACTCCTCCAGACGTCTAGAATTCTTCCTAATTAGAAGTTTCATTCATATATCACCACATAATGGCATAAGTGAGCACTTTTTGTTTGAATGAAAATGAAAAAGGTTTACAAACCTGCCACAGTTTTGCTTCTACTCCCTCCACAGAAGCAGCCCCTTTTTCTATCTCTCTTGCTAGCTTCTCAACATGTCCATAGGTAGAATAATAACTAAACATGCAATGCAAATTCTGATCAGATTAGAGATAGGGAAATACATTAGACAATAACTATAGCTTCTGGAACAGATATGATATACTATTATTGCTCTTAAGATACTGAACCATATAAAAGTTTGTTAGAAACTGATGGAGCTAGCTCAGAAACTCCCTCTTAGTCAAAATGGGTGGGGCTTTACCCGTTCCTTCATGAAATGAGTATTTCCCTGTACAGCCTTTCTCGTTTTTGGGTTAATTGGGGCTGGAGTTCACCAGTTGTCACAGTGAAACCCCTCTTCTCCCCAAATTTCAAAGTCAAGACCCATTCTCCCAGATTATATATCTTTTTGGTTTTCTTGTTTGTGAGGTGAAGATTGAAAAGGAGACGTAAAATCAATTTATAAGGAATAAACAGTTCAATAATCTAAACATTTCTTGTCTACTCCCAATTTTCTGCCTTCAATTTTCCAAAAGCTGAAAAAGGAGAACTGGATAAAGAAATGAAAACAGATCTATGCAAAAGTTTCTCCCCCTTGGCAGTAATAAGGATTGATTAGCTCTTAATTCCTTCTCACTGCCCGAACAGATTTGATTTCAGGATTATGCTATTTTCGTTATTATTTGGTTTGGTTCCATTGGTGAAAATTCTTTGAAAACTAGAACTTAAACCAACTACTGTTACTGAAGACTCACCACCCCTTCCCAATCAATCTATACACAAATACTTAATATCCAATACTTTGACAAAGAACTGGGAGGAGAAGGATATGAGATATTAACTACACATGGCAAATAAGCTAAACAAATCAACAATGCAGAAAAGAAAACAAAACCATGCTATCAATCATTAATATGTGGGAGAATATAAAGCAGACCCAGAATACATGGATTACAAATCGATGAATTACAGAGTAGGACAAACTTAAGAATATAAGCCAGTGAAATTGGATTATTGCTCAAGACTTAACCATCAAAGTAGGACACAAAAGAGGGGAGTTAGATTGTCTTACACAATATAGACCTTGGTGGCCATTGATAGTAACCGGTAATGTCTTGTCTCCCTGTCTCTATGGAAACCAAAAGGTGTTGGTGAATGAAACCTTAACTAGGTACCTAGTCTTATATAGTGTAACTTTTACATGAGTAATATTATGGAAATTGGTGTAAGCTTAAGAAAAGTTGAATATAGAATTCTGTAAAACAAGAGACGGGGAAATAAATGTTTCATCAAAATACGATGAACTCTGATCCACATCATACAAGCTTCAACTTAGTAGTTTATTAATTAATTGTACGATAACTTATTTATTTGATCATTATTGTCTTTTGTCAATTATTTTTTATTTTATTATGCGTTACATCTTTTTATTAGTGGTGGGTGATGCATGATTGGTGGGTCAAACTTCAACTTACATCACAAGAACGTGGAGTAGTTGAAATCACGTCCTTGTTCACTTATTGCACACTAATGTAATATACTTATATGAGTTGAATATTCCATAGTTGTGCCAAGGAAACTTCTTACTTCTCTATTATTCATAACTATTATCAATGAATATTGAATATCCTCTTATACACGCAAGTGGGAATGGTAATATGAGTTCAAAAACCCTTCAATTTGACTTGTATAATTTGATAGAATAATAATTTCGTATTTTAAGTTTATGGGGTAAGAAGTTTTTAAATAAGTCCCTAGTGAAGTTAGATAAGAAAGAGTTTTTAATTTTACAATTAGACTTGGAAGTTTTCTTTGTTTCTTTTATTTCTCAATCAACTATTGTTTCCACAGATTTCCTTAACTCTAATATATAATAATAAACGAGCTCAGGAAAAGCTTAATCATATATGGGTCATTGTCACTACACAGTCAACTAAAATAAAAATAAAAATAAAGTCTACGTGTAAAAATATTTTAATATTTAAATTAGAATAATCTTATTTATAATTTTCTTACGAAAATAACTTAGATACTATATTATACTTATTTTAATATTATTTAATATTTTAATAAAATATGATTATCATAATTATCATAAAAAGAAGTTATTTTATTTTTATTTTTTTCTCTCTCCTTCCTCACTTCTTATTATCTATCTTTTAAACTCTCTTTGGTTGTTCTCTCCCCTCTTCCACTCCCTCTAATAGAATTATAAATATTTAAAAATTTATAATAATTATAATAACATCAATAAAAAATTAAATTTATTCGTTAAACTATAATAACACAAAAATGAATTATTTTATGTAAATAATAAAATAAAAAATTAATGTATATTTTGTTAAAAGCCTCTATTTTTAGATTGTAAAATTAGTTTTTATCATTTATCCACAATTTTATCACGTAGTCTTTAACTCATGTTAGTTTATTTAGACTAAATTATACTTTTTTTAATCTTATTTATAAAATTCAGTTTAGTCATTTATCTTTTAGATATGTGTCAATTTGATCCTTTTAAATTAGTTATCGTTTCAATTTCAAGAAAGGATTTTTCAACCATTTTTTAATTGATTTTTGTCTTATTATATTCTTTTATATGAAATCCGAAGATGATCAAACAACAAATACATAAAGAATAGAAGAATATTGGTTGGTTTAAATTTGTGTGTATTAGTCAATCACTTTTCATGTCTTTTTCTTGGCCTTTCTTTTCACTCGGGAATACACCACTTTTCTTCCTCAATCTTCCTATGTTCACATAATTTTGTCGCATATCTTCTAATTCCCAAGTTATGGATTACTGTTCTAAGAAGTTCAAGTTAGATAAACATTAAATGCATGTAGTTGAGAGGTAGTGGTTATAGAAGTAATAGTTGAGAGGTAATAGTTGTATTGAATGTATGTAGTTGAGAGATAGTGGTTGTATTGAATATATGTAGTTGAAAGGTAGTAGTTGTATTAAATACATGTAGTTGAGAGGCCATATCCAAAAGCCTATAAATTGACCATGTACCACTCATTATAAATACATCAAGTGATAATATACAGAGTGCTTTATTTAGATACTTGTTTGTCAACAAATTGACATCAGAGCTTGAGAGCCTGAGTGTCTGAGTGCGTTAGAGAGAGTGTTTGAGAGTTAGAGAGTTTGTTTGAGATGACCAACTTAGTTAACAACATGCCCCTGCCAAAGTTATCGAAAGACGTAAGCTATGATAATTGGAGCCTGCAAATAAAGACTCTCCTTAGTTCCCAGGAAGTATGGGATATGGTCGAAAATAGGCACCAAGAACCAGAGAATATTGAAGAACAGACGATTGCCCAGCTTGCTGCATTGAGAGCAACACAAGTAAAGGAAAAAATGGCTTTGTACGTGCTGTACCGAGTTGTTGATGAGTCCGACTTTGAGAAAATAGCAAATGCTAAATCTTCAAAAGAAGCGTGAGATATTCTGGAGAAGACATATAAAGGAGATAGTCGCATGAAGCAAGTCAGACTTCAAACTCTTAGAGGCGAGCTTGAAAGTATGAGGATGAAAGAGGTCGAAGGGGTTGCCCAATACATCTCCCGTGTTGAGACCGTGGTGAATCAACTCGGAAGAAATGGAGAGACGCTGCCCACTTGCCGAGTGGTGGAGAAAATCTTAAGGTCGTTAACTGACGACTTTGAGAATATTGTTTGTGCAATAGAAGAGTCCAAGGACTTGTCGGTATTCTCGGTAGAAGAGCTTGCCGAGTTGCTTGAAGTGCATGAGCAGCAGAGAAGAAGAAGAAAGAGGAGTCCCTTGATCAAGCACTCCAAGCAAAGACAACCTTAAAGGAGAAGAAGGTTCCTTATGCTCAGAACACTCAAGGCCGAGGTGGTAGAGGCAGATGAGGATATGAAAGAGGTAAGGAGCAAGTCAGTCAATAAAACTGGCGTGGCCGAGGACAAGATAGAGGTCGTGGCGGTAGAGGCCGAGGTGGTCAGTCAAGCAATTTCGGAGTTGAGTGCTTCAAATGTGGGAAGTACGGTCATTTTGCTAAGGACTGCTATTCAAGTATCAAATGTTATAATTGTGGGAAAGTTGGGCATTTCGTGAAGGAATGCCGATTTGAGAGCAAGAAGGAAACAAATCTTCTCTCTGAGGACGCTGAGGAAGAAGGAGTATTGATGATGTCGAGAAGTTTGGATGTCGAGCTAAGTGCGAGCTATCTGACAACTCGGTTTGGTATCTTGATACAGAAGCAAGTAACCACATGTGCGGGGACGAGAACCTTTTTAAGGAGCTCACTAAAGTTGAGGCCGGACACGTGTCATTTGGAGATGCATCAAAGGTGGTAATAAAAGGCCAAGGTACAATTGGTACCTGCAGAAGAATAGCCGAGTTGGAGAAATCAGAGACGTGTACTATGTACCCGATCTCAAAAACAACATATTGAACATGGACCAACTGATGGAGAAAGGCTACTCGGTTTTGATGAAAGACCGAGTACTATACCTGAAGGACAAGTCAGATCGTTTGATTGCCCGAGTAGAAATGAAGAAGAACAGAATATACAAGCTAGACTTGAAGATAGTCCAAAAGAGGTGCTTGAAACTTGACGTGAAGGATGAAGCAATTATGTGACACTTTTGGTTTGGCCACTTGCATTTTGGCGGGCTGACCGAGTTGGTAAAGAAAGAGATGGTGCGAGGACTCCCGTCTATGAAATTTGAAAGAAATTCTATGAAGAGTATGTGCTCGGGAAGCATTCGAGGACCTTATTTCCAAGGACGACCGAGTACCGTGCAAAGGAACAACTCGGATTGATTCACACAGATCTTTATGGACCGATTACCCCTGAGTCCTTCAGTGGGAAAAGGTATTTCATTTCTTTTATAGATGATTTTTCAAGAAAAACCTAGGTATATTTTTTGAAGGAGAAATCCAAGGTGTTTGAGGTGTTCAAGAGATTTAAAGCAATGGTTGAGAAATAGACTGACATGCCTATCAAATCTGTTATGTCTGATCGAGGAGGCGAGTTCATTTCATCTGAACTCATGAAGTATTGCGAGGAGCAAGGGATAAAGAGATTTCTGACAACACCATACTCACCCCAACAAAACGAAGTTGCCGAGAGGAAGAATCGAATCATTCTTGACATGGTTCGAGCAATGTTGAGAAGCAAAAACATGTCAAAGGAGTTCTGGGCAGAAGCAGTGCAATGTGCCATCTATGTGCAAAATAGATGTCCACATGCTAAGCTGAACGAGAAGACACTGCAAGAAGTCTGAAGTGGAAGAAAACCGAGTGTGTCTCACCTTAAAGTGTTCGGTAGCATAGCTTATGGTCATGCTCCAGCTCAACAGAGGACCAAGCTCGAAGATAGAAGCAAAAAGTACGTGTTTATTGGGTATGCTGAAAAAACCAAGGCATACAGGTTGTTTAACCCAATAACTAAGAAGGTCATCATGAGCCGAGATGTTCAAATTGATGAAAAAAATGAGTGGAGTTAGAACAATCCAAAGAAGGAGTCCATAGGAAGTAGAAGTTCGGAAGTTGATACACCACATACTGTGAGAGATCATGAGACTTCTGATGAAGAAGATGAACCTCTACAACCCAGAGCGCGAAGTTTACAAGATATATACAACTCCACTGACGAAGTGCATGTTGTATGTCTCTTGGCAGATTCAGAAGACTTAAGTTTTGAAGAGGTCGTGCAGGAGAAAAGGTGGAAAAAGGCAATGGACAAGGAGATTGGGGCAATAGAACGCAACAACACAACTGACTGATTTTCCCAAAGGAGCGCGGCCTATCAGCGTAAAGTGGGTGTACAAGAAGAAGACAAATGCTGAAGGAGAAGTTGAGCGATATAAAGCTCGACTCATAGTGAAGGGGTACAAGCAGAAGGAAGGAATAGACTATGATGAAGTATTCGCCCCAATGACGAGAATGAAAACAATTAAGCTGTTGATTTCCTTAGCAGCTCAACACAGATGCACAAGCTGCAGATATGTTCACGAAGCCACTGCCAACCACTCTGTTCGAGAACAACAAGAAGATGTTTGGAATGAAGGACAAGAAAAACATTTAAGTTTATGGAGAGATTTTGTTAAGTAAACATTAAATG